CTATCTAGCTATCATCTAGCTATCTAACATGCTGTCTCAAGCAGCATGTTAGCCTCCTCTAATATGTTGTGTGAATCCAGTCTCAAAGTTCTGAATTCTAGCAAGCTTCCCTTCTTGAGGGCAAGATATTCACTTCCAAGTTTCCACCCTGCAAATTGGGCATTTGCAAACTGTGTTCATCCCTTGTTGACACACACAGGGCAGTATTCTGTACACCAAAGCTCTTACCTTGAGAAACAGGGCACCCTTTGAAGACAAGGCATCTGTTCCTTTTCCATTGGGGTAACAGTGATAGGCAGCATCCATAACTGGGTAGCGGCTGGCAAAAAGCAGGCCACTGTTCACAAATTTGAAGGTACAGCAGCCATGGCAGCTGTAGACTCCAACATCATACAGAATGTACTCAAAGTAGTGGTGCAGCTGATTTTTCAACTTCTCTGCCGCCCTTTTGTCAAACACTTCCTGCAAGCACAGGAAGTCCAAGTTGGCAGGAAAGAAAGCCGAGATCTCGTGGTCGAAGGGCTCGTCCATATTCTTCTTTTTCTTCACCGAGGTCTTCTTCATAAGCGAGGCCTTGTAGAGGAGTTTACTGTTCACGGTGCTTTGGTCAACTGGGCCATCTCCAGAGCGCATCTTCACTAGGGATTCTCGCGAGGCGGTGCAGCTATCCAAGCTTCCAGAATCCCCTTCTTTTTGCTTATGGTTGGGGGTTTGACCTTTCGGGATCTCTGCTTCTGATTCAGGCGAACAGTTGACGGCTCCCTTGCTGTTATTCATGTGGCTTCCCATCCCATCGGCTTCTAGGTCTGAAATGTGGCCGTTATCCTCACCACCGATGCGCACGATGCAAGTGTTGCCATCTTCTCCATCCCCAGCATCTCCTCCAGCTTTGGGATCTCTGCCATCTTCATGGTTAGGACCGGCGTTCTCCCCTTTATACTCTATGGATGTGGTTCTCTTAATGCCCGTGTTGGCCGCCCGGTTATTGCCATCTCCCCCTTGTGGCGAAACAAGACTGCTGAAGCTGGCGGCACTGATCGAGGTGTTGGTGGGAGAGTCTATGTAGATTTTGATTTGGGGCCTGCTGGCACCATTCCGGATCCTTCGCCCAATTTCTTTCGCTCGGGCCTGTGTGTTGAAAACATTGTTTAATCTTGCCAAGGAGTCTGGCAGCAAGCAGACGTTGGCACTGCTAAAACAAAAGCTTTTCCCATTGTTGGCCGCCTTCCACTCAGTGAGTAAGGAGGATCCGTTGATCTGGCTTTTGTCCTGTAGCCTGGAATAAATGTATGGATGTCTCACGGACTGCAGAGGGGACCATAACAGGAAGCCGATCAGGGCAAAAGGAAGGGACACCACCAGCAATGCTAAGTAGATGGGCGTGGTGATGATGATGCAGAGAGCATGGAAGTAGCACGGGTCATCTCCCCTTTGCCGTTTCTCGTAAGTGGTAGGCACAAACGAAGCCAGGAGCCGGTCCCCGAGCCAATAGCATGGGAAGATTAAGCCCCAGGAGAAGGAATGCAGTGCAGAAAGAAAGCCGTTAGGAAATGGGGAAGTGTATAAAACCATTGCAACTCAGTTAGGACACCCCCTTCAGCACCTTCTACATGGTGTCACCACCGTCCGCCATCCATCAGAATCTGGGTTTGCAGGCCAAGAGGGGGAACGGACATGCTCCTGGCAGTTGACGTCCTCTGGACTGCAATGAGCATTTATCCTCGGAAGGACACCAACTCAACTTCATTTAGGAGGAGCAGAAGGTGGGCCAAGGATTCCTGTGAGCATCAAAGATCTAGAGGCATCAGGTTGTCTCATTTCTCACTGCAGGCAGCATGTAGGTTATCGGGACATGAGCAATGAAAAGGTACAAGTGCCTGAAAAGGTACAAGAGAAAGCGAGAGAGAGAGAGAAAAAAAGAAGGAGATTGAGAATAGCTGTCAATTATGAGATATGTGCCGGCAACAAGGAAATTACAATCACAAGGGGCCTTCACACATTACACAAAGCTTATGATGTGCATAACCATAATTGGAATAAACCAGGGGTGGTATTCAGCCAGTTTTGACCAGTTCTAGAGAACTGGTAGTGGAAATTTTGAGTAGTTTGGAGAACCAGCAAATCCCACCTCTGACTGGCCCCGTCCCCATCTATTCTCTGCCTCCCATTGAATCCCAGCTGATTGGCTGGGTCTTCTTTGGTTGCCCTGCACAGGAGAACGGAGCTGGAAAGCAGGTTAATGGGATGGGGAGGGAAGGGGGATTTTGCAGTAATCTTCCCCCAGGAGTGGGGAGGGAATGGGGATTTTACAGTATCCTTACCCTGCCATGCCCACCAAGCCACACCACATCCACCAAGCCATACCCACAGAACTGTTTGTAAATAAAAAAAAATTGAATCCCACCCCTGGGATAAACCATTAGCTTGGTTCACCAATATTCTAAGCCATAGTTTATATAACCAGGGGAAAAACTCAGTGGGTTAGCATCTGTTTGTTCTAGATCAAAGAGGTTTACTACAAAAAAAGAGTATCCTATCAAGTTATCCATCTGGATTGTCCAACCTCCAGACCGTTGCTATAATTGAGCCACCTCGCCTTGGTGATTCTTCCTACAAAATTATTCCAGGCCTTCTGTTTGATTGCTCATTTTCCATGAGAAAAAAAAAAAGAAAATCAAATTCTGGCACTTTGACCTGTAGAGTTTAAAAAGGGAAAAAGGTGCTGGAAACATTTTATATAACAACCCACTAAGAAGCCAATCGTTGCCTCTTTGTGTTTGGAACAATGAAGGAGAAAGAACGAGGATAATTGATGGAGCTAAAATGCTGTGGTTTTTTTTTAAAATTGGGTAAAATGAAGATGTGGCTAAATGAAGGAGCTGTCAAATCAAGCTTACCAGCTCCTCCTGGTTGTTATTCAGAAGCAGGTCCCATGCAGTTTATTCCGATTTATTTCTGGAGAAACTTGCACAGGAGTGGAGCATAAATCACTGAAAACATATCTGGCATGTTATTTATGTTGAGCACATTTGGCGGTGTTTTCTCTATATCCCCTTAGGGAGGCCTTCCTCGCCTTTTTCATCATGGTAGTTTTCTCCCTACCATGCTGATGATCACCCTTACACAACCCAGTCTATCTTATCTCCTAGGCAAAACAGTGGCAATTGGAAACATGGGGATAGAGCACTTGGATTTCAATTGCCCTGAGGAGTGCCAAGGCCAGGATTTAACTTTTTGGGTTGTGTAGAAGAGAGAAACATATGAAGAACGGTTGCAGGAATTGGGTAAGTCTAGTCTAATGAAAAGAAGGACTAGGGATGACATGATAGCAGTGTTCCAATATCTCAGGGACTGCCACAAAGAAGAGGGAGTCAATCTATTCTCAAACCACCAGAAGGTAGGACAAGAAGTGATGGATAGTTTAGTTTAGTTTAGTTTATTGTCATTGCACCTTGTACAACGAAATCAAACACCATCTTCAGTGCACATCATGACCATGAAAATAGACACAAACACACATCCTTCGCACTCCGCACATTGAACCGAAAACCCCCAATACCGCACCAACACTGCACTATACAGCAGAATTTAAAAGAGCTGCTGCCCTGGGATAGAAGCTGTTTTCCAGCCTATTTGTCCTTGTTTTTATTATCCTGTACCGTCTGCCAGATGGTAATAGTTCAAAAAAAGGGTGCCCAGGATGAGATGGATATTTGAGAATGTTTTGAACTTTCTTAAGGCACCGGGAGCTCTAAAGCTCAGAGGAAAAATTGATTTTAAAAAACGTATAGCTACTTACTTTACATTAAACTGGAGGATGAACAAGTAAATGATAGCTCGGGTGAAAAAAATGGTTATACAATTGAATTAGATAAATGGCAAAAATTGTGGGATAGGAGCTATAAATTAACAATGTCAACTGCATATAAAGAAAACTTGTTTTACAGATGGCATTTTGCACCAACGCGATTGGCAAGGATGTTTAAAGACAAATCGGCTAAATTCTGGAAGTGCCACCAAATACCTGGGTCATATTATCATATGTGGTGGACTTGCCCAAAAGCAAAAAAGAAAAAAAAATACTGGACAAAAATACATATGTGGTTGGAAAAAATGATAAAACAGCATATTGATTTAAAACCAGAAATATTTCTATTGGGGATTCTACCCGAAAAATACAGTAAAGAAAATGCATATTTAGTTATACATATATTAACTGCTGCTAGAATCATATTTGCATAATATGGAAAAGTGAAGAGATACCTACAGATGAGAATGTGATTAGGAAAAGATTAGAATGTGCAGAAAGGAATAGATTGGCAATCAAAGAGCAAACTGAATACTATATGGTTTGGGATCTATTTTATCAATGGTTAAATAATAAAAATGGAAGTTAGAAACAGAGAAACAAAATAAAGAAGATATGTTAAAAGAGATAAGTAAATATTATGACTAGTGTGTTGAATATTGCTATTTTAATGTTGTAGAATTAATACGTGGAATGTTACTATTTTATTTATTGTAGAATTAATATTTATGTAACGAATGATGTTGCAATTTTGATTATTGTTTAACAAAGATATTTGTACCCAGACAACATGCTGTTCAACTGAAGATGGAATTATTATATTTAAAAAAAAATTCTATTCTATAAGGGGTCTGGGAGCTAAGGGAACAAGATATATCTAGTCTAACGAAGAAAAGGATTAGAGAAGATATGACAGCCATCTTCCAATACTTGAAGGACTGTTACAAAGAAGAGGGTGTTGATTCTTCTTATCACCTGCAGACAGGACAAGGAGCAATGAATTAAGATTAAAGAGAAATCTAACCTGGAAATAAGGAAGGAATTTCCTGACAGTGAGAACAGTTAATCAATGGAACAACTTCCTCACTCAGTTCTAGGTGTTCTATCGCTAGAGGTTTTCAAGGAAAGATTGAACAGCTATTAGCCTGGGTTGGTATAAGGCCTTGGGCAGGGGGTTGGATCAGAAGACCCCCATTCAGCCAGTTCTGACCAGTTTTGGACACCAGTTCTGACCAGTTCTGTAGCGGAAATTTTGAGTAGTTCGGAGAACCGGCAAATCCCACCTCTGACTTGCCCCACCAACCCCATCTATTCTCTGCCTCCCATTGAGTCCCAGTTGATCGGCTGGGTCTTCTTTGGTTGCCCTGCACAGGAGAACGGAGCTGGAAAGCAGGTTAGTGGGGTGGGGAGAGAATGGGGATTTTGTAGTATCCTTCCCTTGCCACACCCACCAAGCCACGCCCACAGGACCAGTAGTAAAAAAATCTGAATCCCACCACTGGCCCCAGGGCTCCTTCCATCCCTATAATTCTAGGAAGTACTCTAAGCAAACAATAGGAGAAGTACAGGTTGATACCACAAGTCTGATTCAACCCTTTTTAAGTATCCTATCAATGCCAATCTCTTATCATACATAGCAATAACAAGGAACAGAGATGTACAACCCTTTTGGTTTCGGAGATGATCCTCAGCCTATATCCCAAGATGCAACTGGACTTTGTTTCTCCTTGAAGACATTTCGCTTCTCCTCCAAGAAGCTTCTTCAGTTCAGTTCATGAGCCGAAGAAGCTTCTTGGATGAGAAGCAGAACATCTTGGAAAGAAAACACAGTCTTATAGCAGTTTCAAGTCTTGCTGGGAAGACATTCTCGCTGGTTGAGTGAGAACGGTGTTTTTATCATCATCATCATCATCTCTCTCCCTCTCTCTCTCTCTCTCTCTCTCTCTCCCTCCCTCTCTCCCTCTCTCTCCCTCTCTCTCTCTCTCTCTCTCCCCCCATCTCTCTCTCTGTCTCTTTCTGCGCGCATGTGTGTGTGTGTTTGAAATGCCATTGTCATGTAGCACCAACTGCCTCTTAGCAAATTATGCCAAATTATAAGCATATAATTCTTAAATTATATTATATTTGCATTTTAATCAGTCTTAGGCTAATCAGCCTTGAAATGTCCAGGGGAATCAATAGCTGGAACAATAACAACAACAACAACAACAACAGCAACAAAACCTACTGTGAAATGTAATTCCAGAGATAAATGCTCCAGGAGCATTTTTTTTTTCACAGTCTAAAGCAGTGTTTCTCAATCTTGACAATTTGAAGATGGGTGGACTTCAACTTCCAGAATTCCCCAGCCAGCACTGGGGAATTCTGGGAGTTGAAATCCATCCATCTTCAAGTTCCCAAGGTCCCACACTGGTCTAAAAGAAGGGGAAAAAATGAGTTTGCATGGAAGAGGAATGGCTGAATAAAGCAGCTTCTCAAGATCATTCTGGTTGTAGCTGTTCTGTAAATCATGATAGAGGCTCTCCAACCTTATAGTTATGAACTCTTAAAAGCAGGAGTCATATCTTTAATCATCCAAGCTGCATACATTTTTTTTCCAGCCAAGAAATAAATTTGTTTAGCTTAGTTGGCATTTTAACGTGTCCTTATCTATTTTTGCATGTTCAACACATCTCTATTCTCTAGAAGTCATAATTTTCTACATTTTGCAGTGTATCTCGCCAATTAAAATACAAAACGATCCCAGGGACCAACATGATACAGTTTTTGTAAGCGCTGTAGAAACACTGTTCCGTCGGGGGTGCTAATTTGCCTGCCAAAACCACCAACGTGGGTACACATCGCTAAAACTGCAAATAGAAAAGTGTACATTTGGAAAAGCAAGCACACACACACACACACACACACAAAAAGACACATATATTTTAAGGCAAATATAAAAGAAGGTTCTTCTGCAAAAAGCCACAAAAATGAAAAACGGAGACTAAACAAAATTAACACATAGACAAATTGTATTATTC